CTATAAAAAAGAAACCACTGAAGAACAATAATTAATAGCAAGAGATTTGCTCTAAATGTAAACCAGGATAAATATCTCTTTTCAGATTGTCCTCTTTTTTACTCTCACCTTTTTGAATTCCTACTAATTTTTCAAAGCTTACACCAATCTTTGTCCCTCTGTAAAGTTTTCTCTGAATTTCCCAGTAGTCACTTGTGTCTTTGTCAATAAGAAACACCTGGAACTTCTCCTGTAGTGCTATATGTTGTGCTTTATTTGTAGTGTGGGAAATAATTTAATTTCTAATTAATTTTTAAGTTTCTTGAATTGCAGAAATGAGAGAGAGAAGAGATTAATGTGAACTGGAATTCATGGGGATGTTTTGTGAAGAAAATGGTATTCTGATTGTTCTTCAAAGGTCGGGTGGAATTGGAAATGTTGTGTATTTCACTGTGTAATACATAACTACTAGCAACTTGGAGCCATTGCTCGTTTGAATTGTGACTAGTGCAACTGAAGATTTTATTTCAGTTAGTTATCACCTGTAACTAGTGACTGTTCCAAACAGATCTAGAGTTTGGCTTATCTATTTTCACTTTATTATTTTTGTAGTATATAGAATCTCAATCTATATATAGATTAGCAGTATAGATTGTTTTTCTATAACTAGTTGTGTATCCCTAACTGGACCACTACTTTCTTATTTGTAAACAAGCAATATGGACTACATAATTTCTAGGGAGGTTTGCAAGGTAATAGTTTTATGGAAGATTTCACTCATCATACACAACTGAGGTTTTGCATTGAGTTTGTGTGTATGTGTGTATATACAAGTACAAATATTGAAAGGCAAACTTTGGGATCCATTTATTTTCCATTGTTGAGTTTCTCTTGTCCTTTCCTTTCAGTTCCAGGTCTGATTCTTCTGTGCACTTATGTATTGGTATTTTACCAGCCCTTTACTGTTACTAAGGAGCTCTGGTGGTACAGTGTGTTAGGCATTTGACTGCTAACTAGAAGGTTGGAAGTTCAAACCACCAGCCACTCTGTGGGAAGAAGATGAGGCAATCTATTTCTGTAAAGATTTATAGCCTTGGAAACCCAATGAGGGTCATTGTGAATCAGAATTGACTTAATGGCAGTAGGTTTGTTTTTTGGTTTTACTGCTGTTACTCTTACTTCCTTCTTTCCTCACCTCATCATTTAACAGCATGCTCAAGTAAAATAGAAGTAGGGTTTGACTCACAGGCAGGAGATCACATCTTCCATGTAATAACAGTGTATTCCAAACAAGAGTGTATCACAAACTCATGACCAGTATTAGGGTGAGAGAACAGTCAGACACTGGGGAAGTTTGAAACACAAAGATGAGATAGGATGGGCTAACACCGAAAAAGATGAAGAGACAGGAGAGGGTCAATGTTTATATGTGAACTGTGATGTTCATGTGCATTTCTTCATCTTCAGGAAACTGTAAATTTGGGACTACACTCACTTTGTCCAGGGTTAACAAACGTTAGTAATTGTGGCAGATCTGAACAGATAAATCAATTTTATTTCCCTTACCAACTTGCCTCCTACTACAACTTTTACACTTTGGTCACATCCTGCATGTTAACCAACCTACCAGGTACTCCCATTTACACATCTTGGTGCCCATGCAGATACTCTTCACCTTCAATCATAATAAGACTTTGCTTTGGTCCTGTCATACTTAGAGTCACCTCTATGCCCTACACCAGATTCTATTATATCCATTCCTACTCTATGGGCTTGGATTGAATTGCAAATATGATTGTGGGTAGTGGTATGGGAATGATTCCAAGATACATATGTCTGAGATGAAGTGAGGTTAAGAGGAGAAACAACTAGAATGGGTGAAGACTATTTCATGAGAGATTCAAGATCAGAACCTGTGAGTTCTAGGAAATAAGGTTATTGTCAACCCTTCCACTTCTCTCTTTGTGTTCCAATGTCCTGCCTTGTCTACCCTTCCAATTCTTGTCATGTATATCTACTCTGTTTTCACATTTGTTTCACATTTTCTTACTTACAGATGGGATATCATCCCAGGAGGCCACAGTGACAGGGATATTGCATATGGAAGTGTCACAACTCTTTTGGGTGATTATAGGTAAAATACATTTTTAGTGAGTATATGGCCATGAATAGAAATGGAGGAAATATAAAATTTTCACAGTGTGAATATCTTTGAATGATAAATCATTGTAATTCTAGGGTATCAATGCCATTCATATTATTGTTTCCTCTTCATTTTCTATTATTGAGAACTTTAGAACACTCTAGCTGATAAATCAATGGATGGAACAAATCAGTCGGTGGTGTCTGAGTTTGTGTTCCTGGGAGTCTCCAATTCCTGGGAAATTCAACTTGTTCTTTTTGTGTTCTCTTCCATGTTTTACGTGGCAAGCATGATAGCAAACTCCCTCATTGTCCTTACAGTGACTTCTGACTCTCACTTACACTCCCCCATGTACTTTCTATTGGCTAATCTCTCCTTTATTGACTTGGGTGTTTCTTCTATCCTTTCCCCCAAGATGATTTATGACTTTTTCAGAAAACGCAAAGTCATCTCCTTTGGAGGCTGCATTGCTCAGATCTTCTTCCTTCATGTCATTGGTGGTGTGGAGATGGTACTGCTCATAGCCATGGCCTTTGACAGATATGTGGCCATCTGTAAACCTCTCCACTATTTTACTATCATGAATAAAAAAATGTGTATTTTCCTTTCAGTTTCTGCTTGGATAATTGGTTTGATCCACTCTATAGTGCAGCTAGTTTTTGTTATAAAATTGCCTTTTTTTGTTCCTAATGTGCTGGACACATTTTACTGTGATCTTCCTAGATTTATCAAACTTGCCTGCACTGAAACTTATTGACTAGAGTTCATGGTCGCAGCCAACTGTGGGTTTATATCTCTCGGATCATTCTTCATATTGATCATCTCCTACACTTTCATCCTGATCACTGTCCGGAAACACTCCTCAAGTGGCTCATCCAAGGCTCTATCCACTCTATCAAGTCATATCATGGTGATGATTTTGTTCTTTGGTCCTTGCATCTTTGTTTATACCTGGCCTCACCCCACATCACACCTAGACAAATTCCTTGCTATTTTTGATGCGGTTCTTACTCCTTTTTTGAATGCAGTCATCTACACATTCAGGAACAAAGAGATGAAAATGGCAATGAGGAGAGTATGCAGTCAACTTATTGCTTATAGAAGAATTTCTTAAATGACAATGTATTATGACATTTCCTTATTTTCTTGGAGTAACATTAAATTTATATTATTTTAAAAGCAAGAATTATATGTCCCAGATTAAAATGACATGATTCTTTTACAATTTTTACTGAGAAATTATATTGTTTGTCTTACTGTTGACTGAAACATCTGGTGGGCTAAAAAGTACCTCTATGAGAAGGCCAATTTCTTGTCTCTCAAGACACATTACTTTGGTTAATTTATCATGGTCCAGGGTTCAAAATTAAGTGTCTTCAATGTCACAGGGTTGGTTCAATAAGATGTTAAGGATTGATCCTAAAATAATTAAATTAAACTTGATGTTGTTTTAAAATAATGTACTTCAATAAAATGAAATGTTAATAGTGATACTTTTGCTTGAGGGGAGAGATACAGGCTTTTAAATATCTTTTTGTATTTATCTGTAATTTTTATATTTTTCACAACCAACATTGTCATGTACTTTTGAAAAGTAACTACTAAAATATTCAAATACATTAAAAACCTTTCTTAAAATCTGTGATTTGGTATTTTTCACAGATTGCAATTTATTTGCATGCGTATTTGATCTCCTAAAGAATTTAACAGCTATCGTTTTTGTCCTCAAATTTTACATTGTCTTTTTCCTAGTAAGTTACAAAAAACATGCGTGTTTAGTGAAGGTAGAGATCATTAGATATTCTATCATCTCTGATAGAAAAGCTTAAATTAGTGTTCTGGAAATTTCTTATTCATTGAATGAATTTCAGTCTACCTCTGAGTGTGGTAACAATGTGAATATCAGGATACTTTAATATTCAGTGGTGGTGCTGCTGCCGTGATGACATTGATCTGCTGACCAAAAGGTCAGCAGTTTGCACCCACTAGCTACTCTGTGGGAGAAAGATTAGCCAGTCCACTTCTACAAATATTTATAACCTTAGGTATTTTATGGGGTTCGTTATGATTTGGAATCAACTCAGTGCCAGTGGGTTTTTAAACTCATTACAAATGGAAGTCAAAATAAACAAAACAAAACAATCCCCAAACCAGTTGCTGTCAAATTGCATCATGGTCATGGTGAATCTATGTGCGTCAGAGTGGAACTACACTCCACAACTGTTTCTGGAAGTGGATCACCAGGCCTTTCTTCTGAGTTTTCTCTGGGGGAACTAATTTTGTTTAGCAGTGAGTGTGTTAAATTTCTGCATCACTCAGGGATTGTTATAGTGACAATTCCTAATTCTTTGCAAATGTTGCAAGAAAGTACATTTTGGAGTGGGTAGTTCAAGTTTTAAATATAGAGAGTAATTGTTGAAAATAGAGTGAGCCTGACTAGAGTTTTCAGCAAGAATGTCCTATAGGCCAACTTAGAGGCAAGCAATGAATGTTAGCTATTCAAAACAAAGTAAAAATTTCCTTAATATTTAGGTAAAGCAGTGAAATCTGACAATATTTACACTAGAAAATATGGCAAACTTAGTATATTTGGTCCATGTGGCTCCTAATGAGTACTGATCATCCATTGTGTACACATTTCAGTAGGTATGAATTGATTGTAAATAAATATTTACATCACTTTTGACTTTGGAAATTCATGCTGCTGCTATTTGCCATAGAGTCAATTCCAACTCATGACAGCCTCGTGTGTACAGAATAGAAATGTTCCATAGAGTTTTCAACACAAGATTTTTTGAAGCAGAACACCAGGCTTTGCTTCTGAGGCATCTCTGGGTATGTGTGCTGAAGCTTCAACTTTTTATTAAGTAGTCTACTGCTTAACCATTTGCACCACCCAGATATTCCTTTGGTGGCTTAGTGCCTAAGGCATTTGACTGCTAACCAGAGGGCTGGCAGTTCAAACCCACCAGCCATTCCTCGACAGGAAGCTGAGTCTTCATTCCATAGAGATACTGCCTTGGAAGCCCAAGGAAGGGTCACTATGAGTTGGATTTGACTCAACAGTTGCTTTTTAAGATACTCCTTTGGCAATTTATAAAAACCAAAAAACCAAACTCACTGCCGTTGAGTCAGATCTGACTCATAGTGACCCCTCCTTGGGTTTCCAAGGTGGTCTCTCTACAGAAATAGATTACTCAATCTTCCTTCTGAGTAGTGGCTGGTGGGTTTGAACTGCCAGCCTTCTGGTTAGCAGTCAAATGCTTTAGGCACTATGCCACCAGAGGGAATTGAGCTTTAGAGAGAGGAATATTGTCTATTTTCATTGCAAATTAGTGGAAGGGAGACCATGAATCAACTGAGAAGAGGCTTGCTTCATGTGGATTTAGCAACAATTAGAGTAAAGGGCCAGGCTGGTTTTACATGTTTTTATTAATCTATATGGTGCTATTAGGAGCTCTGGTAGCATAGTGCCTAAGGCACTTGACTGCTAACCAGAAGGCTGGCGATTCAAACCCACCAGGCACTCCTCGGGAGGAAGGTTGGGCAATCCTACTTCCATAGTGATACTGCCTCAGAAACCCAAGGAGAGGTCGCTATGAGTCGGGGCCGACTCGACGGCAAACAACAACAACAACAACATGGTGCTATTATTTATACTTACATGCTGGCAAAATCAGAGAGATAGCTTATTGGGAGAATAGAGTTAAAAATAAAATCTACTGCCAACCCAGAAATATGAATAGCAAATGAATAGCAGAGAAACACTGTCTGATACATTATTGGTCAACTTTATGAATAGCCCGAAAACATTGTCCAATACAGTACAGGAAGATGACCCCCTTAGGTAGGAAGGCCCTCAAAATATGACTGGGAAAGAGCTGCATCGTCAGAGTAGAACCAATCTTAATGATATGTATAAAGTTAAGGTTTTGGGACCTCTGTTTGTTGACGTAGCATGACTCAAATTGAGGAGAAAGAGTTGCAAACATTCACTAATAATTGGAGCATGGAATGCATGAAGTATGAATGTAGGAAAATTGGAAGTTGTCAAAAATGAAATGGAATGTATAAAGATTGATATTCTAGGCATTAGTGAGCTGAAATGTAGGTTTTGGCCATTTTGAATCAGACAAACATATGATCTACTAGGCTGGGAAAGACAAATTGAAGAGGAATGATGTGGCATTCATCAGCACAAAGGATGTTTCAAGATCTGTCCTGAAATACAATACTGTCAGTGATAGGAAAATATCCATATGACTATGAGGAAGACCAGTAAATACTACTATTATTCAAATTTATGCACCAAACACCAAAGCAAAAGATGAGGAAATTGAAGATTTCTATCTAACTTCTGCAGTCTGAAATTGACTGAACAGATAATCAAGATGTGTTAATTATCACTGATGACCAGAATGCAAAAGTTGGAAACAAAGAAGAATCACTGGCAGTTGGAAAATTTGGCGTTGGTAACAGAAATAATGCTGGAAATCACATGATAGAATTTTAGAAGACCAATGACTTATTCATTGCAAATACCTTTTTTTCAACAACACAAATGGCCACTATACATGTGGACTTCACCCCATGGAGTGCACAAGAATCAGATTGACTACATCTGTGGCAAGAGGTGATAGAAAAGCTCAATATCTTCAGCCAAAACTAAGCCAGGAGCTGATTGTGGAACAGACCATCAACTGCTCATATGCAAGTTCAACTTGAAGTTGAAGACAATTAAAACAAGTCCACAAGATCCAAAATATGAACTGAATATATCACTCCTGAATTTAGGGACCATCTAAAGAATAGATTTGATGAATTGCACACCAATGACTGAAAACCAGAATTATGGGATGACATCAAAAACATCATCCAAGAAGAAAGCAAGAGGTCATTAAAAAGACAAGAAAAGAAGAAAATACCAAAATGGATGGCAGAAGACACTCTGACACTTACTCTCAAGCAAAGAGTAGCTAAAGCAAATGGAAGAAATGACAAGATAAAAGAGCTGAACAGAAGATTTCAAAGAGCAGCTCGAGCAGACAAAGCCAATTATTATAATGAAATGTGCCAAGACTAGGAGTTAGAAAACCAAAAGGGAAGAACACACTCAGCATTTCTCAAGCTTAAAGAACACAGGAAAAAATTTAAGCCTCGAGTTTCAATATTGAAAGATTCTATGGGCAAATTACTGAATGATGCAGGAAGCATCAAAAGATGGAAGGAATACACAGAGTCACTATACTAAAATGAACTGATCTATCTTCATCCATTTCAGGAAGAGGCATATGTTCAAGAACCAATGGTATTGAAGGAAGAAGTTGAAGATGCACTGAAGGAATTGGTGAAGAACAAGGCTCCAGGAATTGACAGAATACCCATTGACATGTTTCAACGAATGGATGCCCCACTGGAGGCCCTCACTCCATTATGCCAAGATATTTGGAAGACAGCTACCTGGCCAAGTTACCTGGCCAAATCCATATTTGTACCCATTCTAAAGAAAGGTGATCCCACAGAATGTGGAAATTATCAAACAATATCATTAATATCACATACAAGTAAAATCTTACTGAAGATAATTTAAAAATGGTTGCAACAGTATATTGACAGAGAACTTCCAGAAATGCAAGCTAGATTTAGAAGAGGATGTGGAATGAGGGATATCACTGCTGATGTCAGATGGATGTTGGCTCAAAGCAAAGAATACCAGAAAGATGCTTACTTATCTTGTATTGACTATGCAAAAGCATTTGATTGTGTGGATCATAACAAATTGTGGATAACATTGAGAAGAAGGGAATTCCAGAATACTTAATTGTACTCATGAAGAACCTGTACATAGAGCAGGAAGCTGTTCTAACAGAACAAGGGGACACTGAATGGTTTAAAATCAAGGAGGGAGTGGATCAGGGTTGTATCCTTTCACTATACTTATTCAATCTATATGCTGAGCAACTAATCCAAGAAGCTGGACTATATGAAGAGGAAGGTAGCATCAGGATTGGAGGAAGAATCATTAACAACCTGTGATATGCTGATGACACAACTTTGCTTGCTGAAAGTGAGAATGACTAGAAGCACTTACTGATGAAGATTTAAGATTACAAT